TTTCTCTAGTTTATTTGATCGAGCCTCACTCTCAATTCTTGTGTTCATCCTTCGAGATAGATACAGGATTTGAGATAAAGTGCTCTTTCATCTAAACTATGAAGATTATGGGGTCAGTTTGACTTCATCTTTTTCAAAACTAAAATTTTTAAAAAACGTCCTTCCAAAGCGGGCGACGGGATTTCAATTCCGATGACCGACAGCTTCTTACGGGCAAACCCCAAACTAAAAATAGTGCCGACAACACTGTTCACGAGCCGATTTCGAACACGAGCCGATTTTAAACACGAGCTATTTCGAACAAGCCGAACACGAGCCCAGCCTGAGCTCGCTCAAGCTCGGCTCGTTTACAACCATACTTAAAAATAACAATCTAGTTGTTGATTTAATCACTTCAGGAGATTTTGGTTAGCATATTTTTTTTAATCATTGTAACTGTTTGGGATAGCTATACCCATAGCATATTTGTTCATCTCTCATCCTGTATTAATAATGGAGAAATGTGTCAAAATAGTCCGTAGAAATGTTACATGAGGTTATTTTAGTCCAAAAGTCAATAGAAGTGTCAATTTATTCCCTAGAATCTTTTACTATGAGCTGAAATAGTTCACACAGAGAATTGTTTCAACCATAATTTAAGGAATCTGTGGACTAATTTGGCACTTTTATAGACTCCGAGACTATAATGGCCTATGTAAAGAGTGAGAGGACTATTTTGGCATTTTCCTCATTAGTAATGCTATTAACTGACTCATGTTTGTTCAATACCTTATGCTGCACATTTTTTCTATATCCAGGTACATTCAAGAACGTAAGATTCTCGATGGTCTTTCATTTGTGGTGCCTGCGGGAAGAAGTGTGGCCATTGTTGGGACAAGCGGCAGTGGTATGCTTTATGATTTGACATTCTGCTGCAAGTTCTTGTGTTAGCATTTTACATTTTCTAACCCATACTTTCCATTTTCCTCAAAGTACCTTTTCTTTTTAAAATTTTGGATATTACTTTTTTTACCAGAAAATGATAGATATGTTATGTGAGAGGTCAGATGTTGTTTCAAATGTTCTAAAATCTTAAGAGTTCTTTTATGACCAAGCTTCATGCTTATTAGCCAAAATATTGGAGCCTCTTATTCAAATTGTTATACATCTGAACTTTTTCAGTGATTTCGTTTGTTTCCTCCCAAATGATTGTAGAAGTATGATAAATTGCAAGTTATTGGACTATTTTTAGAATATTGCTTGTCATAGGCCAAATCTTTTTATGAGAATCTTACAATTTTTATAGATAATTAGTCCCCCTTTACCCTCATGCGGTGCAATTAATAGATAATGATTGAAATTGGCTCCTAGTTGTTGGTGCTGATGGTGTTACCGGTGATGTTTGTATTTTTTGTTTCTTCCTTTTTTTTGAATGTAATGGCTAGTTACTTTAGTTTGTTTGAACAGCTATTTATATGCGCAGGCAAGTCAACCATACTCAGACTTCTGTACAGATTTTTCACCCCTGATTCTGGAACCGTAAGGAAAAGATTGCTTTGGCTACTTTTTCTCTCTAAAATATATTTTTTTCGGCATTTAACATACATTGCACATTTATCTTATGTATTTATGTATCTCACACCTAAATTTTCATGTTCACACATTTAGCAGTCAAATCTTTAATATCACATAAAAAATAGTACTATTATCACTTTTTAATTGTGTTATACACATTTTTATGCAAAGGTTCAAAGCACCAAAGTGCTATGAAAGTAAATATGAAAGTTTTGGTGTGATATATCTAAATGCGTAAGAATTGTGTGCTACCATGTAAGGTTCCCATATTTTTTTTATCAGATGAAATTATACCCTATCCTTGTGTGTTTTTTTTATAATTTAGTTGTTCTGAAAACCTCACTCTGGCTTTCTTTCAGTTTGAATAAATGAGGCTAATTCAGTACTGACTTCTGCTGTATTTTCGTGTGTTCATAAATCAGATCAAGCATAAATAGTAATAATGAAAGTGACTCGGGGGTTTTCCTCCAAAAGCTGAACCGGTTTGACCCTAACCGTTTAGTTGTGAGGGGGGGCTGAACCAGCCCCTCCTCCCCTCTTCTCATTAGGCGGGGAATTTCTCACCTTCTTATTTTCATTTCCCACCCATCCCACTTCTATTTTTATGTTTTTAGGTCTTAGGATTTCAGTTTATGTTATTTCTGATTTCAGATTTGTGAGGATAGCTGCCGGGGTCCTATTACCCCCCTTGAGGGCTATATCCAACAGGTTTTCCCACAGCTTCTCTGTCCCAACCACCATTTTCTCCCTACAGCCGTCCGTAGCATATTCCCTGGAAGACCAGCCGCTGGCTGCTGCCTCCTTCTTCAGTTCTCCAGCAGTTGACCCACTCACTGTTCCTGCATCCCGTCAGTTCACTACAGGCCATCCCTCTCCACCCAATTTCTGTTCCCATAGCTCCTCATTGTTCCCAGGCTTGTTTTCCGCCATCTGGGTTCCTTCCCTTCCCGTAACTCATCCTCCAGCCCCACTCCAGCGCCCCTTTCCCAATTACCAGCCATGTTATCATCATATTCAGCCCCGTCTTCTTTTGAATAAATCCCAATTTTAGCCTGGACATAACCGTATATGGGGCTGCTTTACGAAAATTAATATATTCGATTGTAGGATATAAGGTTAACTCTATATAATTGCAATAAAGAGGTCAATTAGAATCCGCAATCATTATAGGTAAGATAAATGATGAAATAATAAACATTTTAACGTTGGAGATGTTTCTACTGTGTAAAATAAACAGAAGGGCGTGGTTGAACACAATTATTATTTCTTTTTGAAAGGAAACCATGGAACTCCTATGCCAAAAGAAAAAGAAACAAATTTATTTTATGATACAACTTAATATATTGTTAAATTGATTATAGTTCCTATATAATTTAAAATTCACGTTTGATTTCTTTTATCACAATCACACTGAAAGTTATGTTTAATTTTGTCGCTTTATGAAGTAGTGAAAGAAGGCATCAGGAAAACCATCCACTTTGAAACAACCAAGAGGTTAAGAAAATGAGATTGCAATATGTTATGATTAAATTTTCAAATTTTATTTAATTATTAGCATATCTGACATTTACACTATGTACCCTAAAGATGGGTTAATTAATTTGTTCATGGGCTAATTGAGCCAGTTAAAACCTTAATCCTCAAATGCTTTTATGATACTTTTTGAATTTTAAGATGTTCCAAGAATAAAGGGGTTCAAAGCTTAGTAGGTTGATGTCCCTCATTAGATCCAAACCATTTAATCCTTTCATTTTCCCAACCAATGAAATTATCCCAAGTTACCTTAATAACCAAAATTCTTCATACATGAGCATCTTAGCAACTGCAATTTCTATGCAATTCACGCAAACCATACCATGATCTTGCTTCAATTGATCATGAAGGCAGAGAACTGTTCCTACAACTTCGCCCATGTAATAATCCTTTCTTTGACTTGCTCATCATCACTCTCACTAGCACTCTCACTCTCAATACACTATTGCTCCCTCTATCTCATTTTCTTTCTCAAACAATGCTTGTTCACCTCGCTCTTTGTCTCTCTCGTCTTTTGGTAAATTGTGTTCCAACCTCACCTTGCTTCTATTCTCCCCTCAATCTTCCCCCCATGATCATCTCCACTCTCAGCTCCTCTCCAACAACTTGTCTTATCTTCTTTTGCCATGCATGCCCCTAGAACTCTCTCTTGCATGTAGGCTTTTCAGATTCCCTTAGCAATGTTGCACTACTAATGTGGTTATGCTTAGGCCAAAATTGTAGTTTGTCAAAAGAAAGATCAACAAAAAAAAAATTTAGATGTCATTGAAAAGTTTGCAGATGATCCTACCGTACAAAACAGTCAATTTGTTATTGTTTGCGTTTACTCAAATAGACTAAAAATATAAACCAAAAAATCTATACCTTTATTAGTATTTAGTTGTATAAGTGCATATAGTTGTTTTATTATATGAATTAAAATCATTGTATTGTTGCATTATTGGACATGTTCCATATTTGTATGCCTTATTTTTTATCTATGAGGTGAATATTTCCAAGGGCTTGTTAGAATACAACTATTATTTCAATGGCATAATTAATCAATCGAAAAATAAGTTGACCGACAGTATTTTACATTCTAGAGTTTAAATTTACATTTGTAACACTTTGGTTTTGTATTTCACTTTTAAAAAGCTAGTAATATATTTGATGTATTGTTAAAGATTTGAGTTTTTGCATTCGTAAATATAAAAGTTTATGCCTTAGATTTGTAAATATTTAAGTATTGTGTGGCGTGTATGTTTAAATCAACAATTTGTCCCTTATTTCTTTCTGAAAGGAAAGCTTGAGAACCCCTGTGCAAAAAGAAAAAAATAAGAATGAAGATTCAAAATTTAATGATACAATTAAGTAAACTGCTAAATTGATTTTAAAATTCGCCTATTATATCTTTGATCTACGCAATCACACAAGTTGAATTTAATCACTTTATGAAATCAAGTAAAACAAGGCATCAGAAAACCATGCACATTTAGACCACTAAGAGGTCAAGAAAATGAGACTGCAAATTGTCGAGTTTAACTTAGCATATCTAACTTTTTCCCTATTTACTCTAAAGGCATGTTAGTTAGTTTTGTCCGGGACTGACTGAGCCAATTAAAACCTCAATCCACATAAGTTTTATTGATGCTTTCTTGAATTTTTAATCCTTTAAAAATAAAGAACGGTTCAATGCATGGCAGGCTGATGCCCATCAGACCCAAACCATTTTACTGCTTCATTTCTCCAGCTAATGAAATAATCACAAAATTGCGTTAAGAATCAAAATCTGCAAAATATGACCGTGACCCTCTAGTCATCTTATCAACTACGATTGCTATGCCATTCACTCAAATTCTCTCATGATCTTTGCCTCAATCGGTCATGAAGGCAAAAAATAGGTTTGGAGAGTTTATTTTTTATAGTTCTATTATTGCTTATGGTTGCTATTACTATGTTAAAATAGGGTTGCTTATCTTTTGTTATGTTGTTGTTATTTCTTCTTATTAAGCATTATTTATTATTATTATTTTTTTTTTTACAGTTTCCAATTTCACCATTAAACATTCAGATTCACTGGATACAAGGACAATAAGATTTTAGTTAATTGAAAATATTATGAAAATATGATAGTAAATTAAATGGGAGTTTTAAGATAGTAATTATTTAGAAAATATAATAAATAAAATATTGAGGTTTATTATAGTTTGACGAGAAAAGTGAATTAGATTTAGTTTTGATGACGATCCATAATAGCTTGGAGATTTTGGGGGACATTGTAATGGTTTTGTTAGCATAATCCTTTTAATTGAATTTTAAGGACCAAGAGAATGATAAATGATTATAGAAGAAGCATTTGGATATAACTTTTTTATGAAATAGAGATGCTCACATTTTAATAATTATAATGAATTAAATGTGTCATATTATGAATCTATGGGAGATAATAATATTTTTTTTGAGGAGATAATAATAGTTTGATTTCATGTTAGAAATATTTATTTTGGAAGCATTTCTTGGTTTTAATGGAATTAATGTATGTTGATGTTGTATAGTTATTTATGATGGAACACTGACTGATATTAGAAGTCATTGTGAAGTAACCAAATAGGTTCTAATTTTAGTTGTATTATAGCATGGATTAGCATTAAGTTCATATCTTTTTGTATTGGTTATGATGATGCCTACAAAAGATGTTCTTAGTAAAGTGTTTTGTTTTTTTTTTTTCAATATGATATTGTTCAAGCTTCTGAGACATCTAACCGTAAAAAGGGTAATTTAAATTTTAAACCAAATAATTTTTATGTGTTTACATATCTAGCACCTAAAGTTTAATATTTATGTTTATAGCACTTTGATATCATAATGAAAATATGCATTTTACTTTTTAAAAGTTAATAATAATGATATTTTTAATGTAATATTAAATATTTGACTGTTGTGCATTAAATATCAAAGTTTTGGTGTTAGATATGTAAATATATAAGAATTGTGTGGTATGTATGTAAACGCCTCCAGTAAAAAACGGAGGTTACTACATTGGATAAATATTTTTATAAGATAGAAGACTTAGAATTAATGAAATAAAGATTGAATGCTGTAAGAAATTTTAACAATTATTTGGTAATATTAAGGTGATATTTACTTATGGTGAGCTTTAAGTATTTTGGATTTATTATATAAAAGATGGAGTACAATTTTTTATATAACTTTTATAGCTAATGTTGATTGATTAAAATAAAGAAGTGCTTTAGAAGTTTTTGTTATTTAATTATTCTGTAGACATAAAAGGTAAATTTTACAAAATTGCAACTAGGTTGATAATCTTTAGGCTGGAATGCCAAATGCTGGATTAAATATAGTTCGTAACCAAGTTGAGTGTGTTAAGTGGGACTATTTAAATGGATGTATGACAAAAGGAAAAGAGAAATTTAGGAATGACTAGTAAAAGAATATTTCAAATTGCATCTATTCAATATTATATATTTAAAGCAATTTTTGATGTTTTAGATATTGTAGAATAAATGGGAAAAAATGTATCCATTGCATTGGTTGATAAAGTTAATTTAAGAGGATTGGGATGGTGGATTAGACTTAAGATATTATGGATAAAAATAAAGTTGAGGACAATGTTGATGATGATATTAGTCATTTACATAGCTAATAATTAGCATTTACCAATATGTGTATCTTGTCCAAGTTTAGCATCTAATTCTATGTCCATTATCTATTTATAATTTTAAAAAGATGTACACTTCTTTAGAATTTCATCTCTCATGCATACTAAGTACTACCATGCGAATTTGTTTGAATGTTAACATTGTCTTGAACATAACTTTAATTTTCTCTCTCATATTGAAAAGGAAAAGTTGACAGCCTAAACCAAGGAAGTAGATCAAGCTGATCTCTGATTTGCTGATTGATGGAATATTAACCTTCATTTCACCCTTATTGAATTCCTTAGTTTTGATTGAATTTTTTCAATTTTCAAAGTGCAACTCTGTCATAATTCATTTGTTCCCACCACATTATAACAACTTTAAAATGTAATTGTATTAAAGTGTCACAGCATTTGTGGATGTTGTAAATTTTCTTTCTTTTACCTGTGAGGTTAGCATTTCTAGCATAGAGAGGAGTTTGTGCATAAAAAAGTTTTAAATTGTATATGTTAAGAGACAAATAAAGAGAAGAAAGTATACGACCACTCTCCTAAATATACTTGGTTTCATGTTAGACATTTTTAATTAGGACCCTTGAGGCTCTTATTCTTTGGCTATTGGTTCCTTCATTATCGGTTGAACATGTATATGCAATTTGTTTTTTTTATTTTTTCTTTTGATCATTTATATTTTGTAATTGCTTTATTTTTTACCTTTTTCATTCACTGATTATAATACTTTTTTTGCTTTAAAAAAGTTTCACGAAGTTCCCTCATTCTCCACGTGCTAACCATGAGATCACTATAAATGTAATAATATATTGGATCTTTTTTTTTTTGCTGAGCTCAATGCCATATAGATTCCCTATGAAAAGGAAATGAGCGAAGATTGGATATTTACCATAATTGCAAGCTATCCTTTTTTATGACATAAACATGGCCTTATGATTTTGTTTTATTTTTTTTTATTTCTCTTGTGAGAACTTCTTGGAATATTTTGGCTTTTTTTTTGTGAAAATGGTAATATTTATCATCATAATGTCAAATTAAGTGCATCTAGTACATTATTTTATCTTAATGAGGCATTAAAGCATAGTACTTAATGATGTAGGACATTTTATGATCTAAGCTTTTATAATGTGAATGTAATACATGAAAATCACACAAAATATCAAAACGCTATATAAGGACCATCAATGTGTCTTTTTTACCAAAAGTTGAAACAAAGCATTCGCCACAAATGATAATTTAATGTTTCCCCAATAAAAAATTAACATAAATATGGTTGATCAATAAGATTGCTGGTCGAGCAAAATTCATCCATATAAACAAATTAGTTGTATAAATTTTGGGTAAAATCAGTGGTGTAATCAAATTACTAAAAGTATAATTTATAAAGGAGATATGAAAGAAGTTCTGAAATTGTTATGTTTGGCTTCATGCAAGTATAGCACAAAAGTGATGGTGATATTGATGGGGATGTTTTTAGTAGAATTCAAGCTGGTTGGTTGAAGTTGAGGATTGCATTGAGTTTAGAATTCAAGTTGGTTGGTTGAAGTTGAGGATTGCATTGAGTCTATTGTGTGATAGAAAAATACCATTTAGACTAAAAGGAAAATTTTATAAGGTGATAAGGCCTATAATAATCTATGGCACAGAATGTTAGCTTTTAAAAGAGAAGCATAAAATAAAGTTAAGTGTTGTTGAGATGAGAATTCTTAGTTGGATGAGTGGCCTGACACTTAGAGACAAAATGCAAAATGAATATATCTGTCATAGGGTTGGCGTAGCTCCAGTGGCAGACAAGATTAAAGAGAGTCGTCTTAGATGGTTGATCATATTAAACGTTGACCATCTGATGAGACAAGATTAAAGAGAGTCGTCTTAGATGGTTGATATTAAACGTTGACCATCTGATAATCTGGTTAAGAAAGTAGATGTTTTAGATTCGACTTATGTTAAGAAAGGTAGAGGTAGACCTAAAAAGATTCGGGCATATTGTCCAAAAAATGATCTTAATTTATTAGAATAAAATAAAAATATGACACTCAATAGTACATAATGGAGAATAGGATTTATGTAGCCAACCCCATTTAGTGGGGATAAAGGCTTGTTGTTGTTGTTGTTTCAAGCACAACATAGAGTTGTAATCAATGAAAATAACAAAATGACTAGGTTTTTGGCTTCTTCTCGTAGATGGATAGGGTGGGTCCCTAATTTTAGGCTATTTGGAAAGTCAATTATCTATTAAATATGTAATCAGCAAGTCACCAAATAGAATATCCAGTAAGTTTCAAAAAAAAAAAAAAAATGCACTAGTCAAGACGGAAACAACTACCAAACAGGCCGCACTCCATCTAAAAGCCCAACAACAAAAAATGGCATGTACTTGAGCAAGGAACCCAACGAGTAAAATCCAACTGTAAGCTCAAGTGAAATAGCCAATTTAAATCCCAATAAAGAAATCATGGATTAGCTATAAACCAAAGAACCAACCGATAAATTAATAGAAAACTAGAGAATCAACTATAGAAAATCTAAATACCAATGAACTAACAGTACAAACGACAATAGTTATTAGATATAACTTGTTCTTTATACTGATTATCATGGTTGATATGTTTTGAACTACTACAATTAAAATTGAACCTCCATAAAATCAAACGAACAACTAAAATAGAATCAACTGAAGTTAAAATCAAAGTTCAGAAAGTTTGCTTTCTCAATTAAGTTAAAGTTTTATTATTCATGCAGATCAGTGAGAAGAGGAACGAGTTTTATGCCAGAATTATATCTATTGATGCTTAAAAGTTTTTCATGTTTTGAATTAACTAATTTTGAACTTCTTTCTCATTAATATCCCAACATACTTCTTTTTTCCAGATTCAAATAGATGGTCAAGAAATAAGTGCGGTGACCTTGGAAAGTCTCCGTAAGTGCATTGGTGTCGTGCCGCAGGATACTGTAAGTGTATTATATATTTTTCTATCTACTCACCTTACAAATTTGCATATTATAATTTCAGTTATATACTTTCTTGCACAATTCAATATGCTGAAGTATCATATCCATTTATGGACTTTCTTTTTTTTTAATGACTCCATATGAGGTATTTTCGTGGTAGGAATTAGGAACTACCATCGTTTGTTTGTATTTATATTTTTCTATTGTTGAAATTTTAGTTGATTAAATTTTGAAATATGTATGGAGACTTGTATGCATGCCACCGGAATTTTTATTATTTACAAAACTAATATCCACACTTAAATTTGCATGTGATCCCAAATCATGTATAACAAAAGTCAGTAGCCTTGTTGCGCTCTTTAAGGATTTTGTTATGTTATTGTAATTCAATGCGTTTAGGTTTTCTCTATGTATATAGATAAGATCTGGGTGTTAAATATGAAATTCCCCAAAAAATATCAAAGTGACTAAACAATTTGTTTAAAGAATTTCTATAATGAGCCTATTTACTTCTTAATATAAATACAATCAATTATATGTCTGAAAATTTCTAGTTTAATTTGATTTCTTTTTCTGAAAACAAAATACATATGGCAAACCGCCTTTCTGATAGTTTAAAATCATTGCAATTGCATCCAAAACTCAAATGACATGATTAAGTCAAATTCTGTTCGAACAAAATTTAAGAAAAGACTCATCTCTCGAGTTTAAGTTAGGTGATGGGTTACACATGAAAAATCAACAATTTTCTATTTTTGATTGGAATTTAGCTTTCTATGTTGTATATTTTTTAGATTTCGATGTGATTATAATACATTTAAATTATAGAGATTTGATTGGGACATTTGAAATTGTAGGGGTCAAACTGAAATTTAAAAAAAATGCCAAATTATAACCAAAAAGATTTAACAATGGCAAAGTTGCAATATCAGGTTGAAATAACATGTTGAGAATGGTTAAAGGGAACAGCTTACTTTTAAAAAAAAATGTTACAAATAATCTACCTTGCTGCTAATGTGATTATGAATTACTTATATCTGAACTTTATATTGTTTGCTGCCAAGGTCTCTCCTTTATAAAATTTGTGCTTGTATTTTTGCTTAGGATCTTCCTTTGCTTACTTTTTAACTTCAACAATCTAGCTCTAAAAAATTGTATTATATCCTATTGATATGGTCCCAAATACCTAACTATTTGGTTCAAAAATTGAAGCTTGTTTATTTTTTTTAATTGAAGCTTACATGAACCTTCGCATTTTTTGTAAAAATAAACTACAAAGAAGTAAACAAAATCATACTAAAACATCTCCAAAGCTGAAAAAATAAAGAAACAATGTGAAAACTCAAAAGGCAATGGAGTAAGGCTTTAAATGTATAGCCGACAAAGTAATTTCGTTTGCTAATTCTCATAGCTTTGTTGATTGAAAGTATAGCAAGAATTGTTGATTCCTGAGCATTGGACTTTCTCCTTTTTTATTTTATGGTTAGAAAAGCATATAGCATTCCCTTAACTATAAATAATATTAATAAAAGAGAGGATGAATATATTCAAGGGTTTTTAGAGGTATTTATTGAAAAAACCAATTCTTTAAGCTGTGAAAAAAAGGATCCAAGTTATTAGAGCAAATGCCAAAAAATATCTTAGAAATTTTGCCACTTATTGGCCAAAATGCACCAATGCGGCAATTGAAAAGGATACAAATAATTATCTTCAATTTTTTTTTTTGGCATATCACATAATGATGCGTTTTTTAAACATGAAAACCTTGCTATGTATTTTTTTTTTATACAGATAATCAAACCAAGTACCATGATTCTAAAAATATTTGTAAAATTACAAATCCAAGATCATATGGTTTAATGAGCACCCCGTTCCATAAAAAATGAATAAAAAGTTATAACCAAATGTAAACCTTATGTTGAAAGAAGGCAAATAGGGATGTCATGTTTATTGTCTAAGAGTGATGATTTATGATTTTTTTTTGTCTAATTAACTTCTCTGCAGGTACTCTTCAATGACACTATATTCCACAATATTCATTATGGTCGATTATCTGCAACGGAAGAGGAGGTAAGCAAATAGATGTTAAAAGTTTTTCTTATGCAACAAGAACAAATGTTATTGTTTTTATCCTATTTTTTAGGTGTTTGATGCTGCTCGGTGTGCAGCCATTCATGATACAATCATGAATTTCCCAGAAATGTATTCTACTATTGTGGGAGAGAGAGGACTTAAGGTACTTTGTTCGTCATAAAGACTACCTCTGCTGTTTACTATGATAACAAAGCTGTTATGGGGATTCTTTCATAATGCTTCTGACATCACAGATCCGCGGATCTGCAAGCTGCAGATCTCACGATCGCGAGATTAATTGGCTTCTTTAATTATTTTTAAATTATCTTCCTATTTTTAGCAAGTTTTTTCTTTCTGATTCTTTCATACTTTTCTATTTTTCCAATTACTTGTTCTCTATTAGGGGGCTTTTATTTATGTTGTAGTAGGTTGTTTGGATTTGAATTTTCTCATTTTATGAATTGCCATAGACTTGTCTCCGATTTATGCTCTTTAGAGTGTTGTAGCCTCTTTCCTTCGCGAATGTGTATGTAGCTTGCTTAGGAACAGGTGATGGATCCCCCTTGCGGTCCGCACCTTGGTGATTCATTGTTTGCCCGCTGTTTTCAGTCGGACAACCATCAATGCAGCTTTGACCTGTTGTTTACAGCAGGAACCACCCTCACTCTTTTTCTTCTTCTTGTTCATTGTTCCGTCGCCATTCACGCCAATTTTCATCCGTCATCCTTCCTCCCACTCACGTAATCAATCCTACAACTTCTCTACCACCTTTTGTGCTCTCACGCCTTTTAGGAGCATTAGAACGGTGTTATCAGATATTACAGCATGATAAATTCTAAAATTTTAGGATTTTGTCGTTCTTGTTCCAATCCAAAAATAAAAAATAAAAAAATAAAAAAAACTTCTCATTATACCCAATTCATTCATACCATAATTCCTAGCTTTAACTCTAAATTTTCAAAATCCAACATTCTCAGTTTCACTAAAATTTCACGTCGGCACCTACCACCAAAACCTAAGTTCCGACCAATTTTGATTTGCAATCCAACATCCGCTGAAAACTTGTTTGGGAGAAAAATACGCCATGCCGCTGTAGAGAAACCCTTAATGAGGTGTTCAAGACTTTATTATGGAGGATATGCAATGGAATATCTTTCAACTGCAATAGAGGCTCGTCGTCTTTAAGAGGGGACAATCTGAGGTCAATCATAGTTGCAATAGTGGCTCATCAAATTGAGGAGGGGAAGTGAATCCATTCCATCAGGAAGTTTCTAACGGCGAAAAATGAATACCTCAATGATTTGACATGGAATATCAGAGAAGAAGCCAGGACCTTTGAGTAAATGTGTATTTTTTGGATTTTAATGGCCGCATGGATCCAAATGAGTTTATCGATGGACTCCAATTAGTGCAATGAATTTTTGAGTGAATGACGTTCCCAATGATAAGAGAGTTAAATTGGTAGCTATATAGTTGAAGAAGAATGTTTCTTTGCGGTGATAACCTGAAATGTAGTTGATAGCGTGGAATCAAGAGTAAGATCATCAACTCGTTTGAGATGAAGATGAAGATGCAACACAAATTCCTTTCCTCGCATTACCGACAGGATATGTTCATAAAATTCTACCTCTTGCGCTTGAGAGATTCATGCATTGAGCAGTATACAGTTAAGTTTAATCAACTAATACTGAAATGCGAGTAGGTGGAATCAGAGGAGCACAATAGCAAGATATTTTAAATGAGTGAAATTGTCTATTAGTAATGTGATGCAGTTGTTGCATGGTACTAAGGTTGAACTATTCCTGTAAGGTGTAGTTGTCACCTTGTGACGACCTCTCTTGAGAAAAAACTAGTTCAAAATAGAGAAAAACTAGAGATAACCATCACTCCAGATTTGTCTTAGCTAGGAAGTGCTCGAGTGTCATGTCTTGGAGCACATTGTGTATGATTGCTCGAATTGGAGGGTAATATTTTTCACCGAGAAGGTGCAATGGTGGAGGTAGAGGGTGAAAACCCAAAAGAGGAGATTGGAGAGTACCAGCTACCCATAGATGTGGGAAAAATGTGATTTAGTCTGAGCCCATGAAAGAGACTCCAATCACACTAGCATTAGTTGTCCTAGAATGTATCAAGTCCTGTGAGCTAATATTAGAAAAGGGGCAATCTTTGTCGAGGTAATTGTCGATTGCCCAGGCAATTTACCTCCCAGGTCACTGCCACTGTGAATGATCCAACATGCCATATATTTTATTCCAGGATCGATTCCTCCAGTTTATCGGATGCGTCGGTGCAGTACGTGGAGTTGGAAAAACATGTTACATATTTAATGCTTCAAAGCTTGGTTCATGAGCATATATGTTTATTTGTAGTTCTATCTCTGATTATGCCGAAAATTGATGTATATTTATTCGATCGGGACAAATTTTGGAAGGATATATGTGTTTTAGAGCTGCATGAAATTAACACGAGTATATATTTTTTTTTGTGGCGGAGTTGCCTTAGACCCAACAAAACAACGTCTTTGTTATGGTTGTGATGGATCGATTCCAGCTGGGAAGAAGACGTAGCTCCTAAAAATGATGTTGGATGCGGCATTTGCCTTGATATCACGGTTCTGTGGGTCCACAAGCCATGGATCTTGCAATTGTGAGATTAACGGTCCCCGTTAATTCTTTTTTAATTGTTTTCTAATTTTTCAGCAAGTTCCCTCATTTTCATTCTTTTCTTTCAAGTTCTTTCCTACTTTTCAATTAGGTATTTTCTATTAGGGGACTTTTATATATGTTGTAGTAGGTTGTTTGGATTTTAGTTTTATGATTCTATAAATTATTAGACTTGTCTCTGATTTACGCTGTCCGGAGTGGCGTGACACCTTCGCAGATGGTGTGCCCGTTGCTTGCTTGGGAACAGGTGGTGGATCCCATTGCCGTCCGCACCTCGCCGATTCACCTTTTTTCCGCTGTTTTCAGCCGGAAAGCTGTCGACGCCGCTGTTTACAGCAGTAACCACCCTTTTTCTGCTTCCTGTTCACTGTCCTGTCGCCATTCACGCCTATTTTCAGCTGTCATCCATCCTTCCCTCTCGCATAATCGATCCTACAACTTCTCTCACACCCTTTAGGAGCCCTATAAAGGTGTCAGCTTTTGTTTAGATGCTCCCTATTTTAGCTATAAAAATGTTCAACTGTTCCGGTTGGAAATTTAATACATGTAGAATTTATATTTAGTGGCTTTGTTGATATCATTGACATAACGGCACTCGACATTCTGAATTACAGAATTTTTTCTGATTTCAGATACATTTAGGATCCAAATTTGTGATTACTTACCATGCCGCTTATCTTTGTAGATTACAGTTGGTCATTTTCATTGTATCAGGCTTGGTGATAAGTTATCTGTGGATAGAAACAGAACATGAAGAACTCCGTATGGTTTTAACATTTGATAAGGAAACGCATAGACTAATTTAGTAGTGGTATTTACATGCATAGCACACAATTCTTATGTATTTACATATCCCACTCCTAAACTTTCATATTTACACACATAGCACACAAATATTTAACATAAGGTAAAAAATAGCACTTTTACCTCTTTTTTAATAACAAATACACCTTTTCATGCATAGATTTAAAGCACCCAAGTGTTATATATTTATAAATATGGAACTTTAGGTGCGAGATATGTAAATCCATAAGAATTGTGTACTGCATATGTAAATTTTCCATTAATTTAATATAACCATCCGAACCCATGCTTCCTTTTATTTTCTTTTGTGCCATCTCTACTGGAATTTTTTTTGTAACTCAACACTTCTAGGTCCAGGCTATATTTTTATGCATTCTTAAATAGAAGTGCCTAGTCTTTTGTCCACAGTTAAGTGGAGGAGAAAAGCAACGTGTATCTCTTGCCCGCGCATTTTTGAAGGCCCCTTCAATTTTGTAAGTGATTTGACCTTTGCTTTGCTTGTTTTGATATACTTATTCTTGTTTGTACTCGGCATCGAAGTGAATTGATAGATTGATTTGTAATGGCAAAATTTTATGAACTAACAAATCTTTATAAATCTTTTTGAACTTGTAGAAGCAGGTAGTTCATGGTAGCGTTTCCTGTTTAAGGAAACCTGAGCTATACATTTTTCTAATTTTTTTTAGGAAGTACTATGTTTTAAGAGATAGTGCTTGAGAACTTGGCTTTTGTTTTTTTTTTTTTTTTTTTGCATGTTCACTATTTTTTTTTGCCTTAATTGTTAATTAGCATCAACATACTATTTACTTAATTTCTAAACTCTATATTTCAGATTAATGTTATATTTGATGTAGTTTAGAAATGAACGTTTAGCCCCAGATCATAAGCATTTTTATGCCTTAGGAATCTGGTTTGTTTTGTTTATGCATATATGGCAAATCTTATGGCCCGTTTGTTTTCTGTTTTTATTTTTATTTTTACTTTTGTTTTTGAAAACATATTTGAATAGTATAATTTTTATTTGTTATTGTTATTTTGAAATCACCTAGTTTTCAAAAATGCTCAAAACACCTAAAAGATAGTTTGAATGTTTTTAAAAACAGACCAAACATGCTTTAATTCAAACTAAAGAATAAACAAAACAAAATAAAAATAAAAAGTAAAAAAAGTAAAAGCCAAAGTGATCCCAAATGGGTCTGTGGGGACTGTTTGGGATCACTTTTGTTTTTTGTTTTTATTTTGTATTGTTTATGTTTTGATTTGAAACAAAACATGTTTGTTATGTTTGATTAATATGTGATTGTTTTTTAAGACACTATAAACATCTAAAAGATATTTTAAGTATTTTCAAAAGCATATTTATTTGGTTTTAGAAATAAAAAATATACTAAAAAAATATATTTTTTATAAAAAATAAAAAATATAAATATAATTAAAAAAATGATCCCAAACAATCCCTAGTTTATAACAAGCTCTTAAAGCTATTGTTTTGTGGTTCTAGATTGTGCGATGAAGCTACGAGCGCACTGGATAGCACAACCGAAGCTGAGATTTTGAATGCATTGAGACCTTTGTCAGTGAATCGAACTTCCATCTTCATTGCTCATAGGCTTACGACGGCTATGCAGTGTGATGAGGTGCACAATAGAAAATTCAAGTCCTTCTTTAGATAGCTTGCGCATTGTTCTTTCTCGATTCAATACTAAAACACACACAGATATATATATACATCTATATATGTATATATATATATACATCTATATATGTATATATATATATACATCTATATATGTATATATATATATACATCTATATATGTATATATATATATACATATATACATCTATATATGTATACATATATATATGTATATACATCTATATATGTATACATATATATATGTATATACATCTATATATGTATACATATATATATCTCTGTGTGTGTGTGTGTGTGTGCCGCATTCCTTGTCCAGTTGGTAGGCAGGGTCACTGTAAGTCCCCTCTAGCAAGGCTTCGATCCCTACCGAGGTGTGTGGGAAGTCTAATTATAGGCACATGGTGTGGGCTCTCATCATGGGGCCGAATTGCGCATGGGAAATCGATATTTGGGCTTCTGCCAAATATCAATTTTCTATATATATATATCACCATGTAAAAGTTTAAATGATTGTATTTTTGATATGATATGAAGGTTGTATAAGTTTAAAAAAAGTGAAGTTTAGGTATTAAACATGTAAATACATGGGAATTGCGCTATATTATAGTTAATTATAATATTTTAGCTAAACCATCTGTTCTCTTTGTGAAGTATTTTAGTTTTGGGCAATTTACGTATATTGCACACAATTCTTATGTATTTACATATATCACACCTTAACATTCATATTTACATATACCATTCTTTCGTGCTTTAAAATTATGCATGAAATGGAATATTTTATTTTTAAAAAATAGTAATAGTGCTATTTTTTATATGATATTAAAGCTTTGAGTGTTATGTGTGGAAATATGAATGTTTAGATGTGAGATGTAAATACATAAGAATTGTGTCCTCTGTATGTAAATGTCCCTTTAGTGTTTAGATTAGTTATTGTGGCATTCAATTATGAATTTGTTTGAGTTAGGAGGCTTTATTGATTCACAATTTATTATTTATTTATTTTTCCAGATTATTGTTCTAGAAAATGGGAAGGTGGTAGAACAAGGACCCCATGAAGTTCTTCTATCAAGAGCTGGAAGATACGCCCAGTTATGGTCGCAGCAGAACAGCACTGATGCTATTGATTCTGCTGTTAAAGTCGGAGCTTGAATCTATTTCTACTTATAATTTTTTATGGCTTGCTCGGAGAATTGGGGAAGCTCTCTTATTATAGTGAAGTTTTTGTATTATGTAAAATATTTTTGCAGTTAACACCATTTATTCGCTTGTTATATTAATTGATAAATTTGATTTTTGCAGTTAACACCATGAATGTGTAGGCATTATTTTGAATATGATTAAATTTTGATTTTCTTACTTGGTCCTCTTTGTGGGCAAGTGTATTAGTCAACCTGAACATAAACAAATCCCCAAAGAATGCATTTATCTTATTTTATTGTGATAGTTACATGCAGACCACCCGAAACATTGAAATTTACAACAATCATCCGAGCCATAATTTCGACAAATTTATGGTCAAACTAAGAGTCTCGATAAGATGAATCAAATAAAACTGAAAGTGATCTTAATTTGAGTTCATATCAGCCCAAATCAAATAATTAAAGTGTAATTAAGGATTTCGTGCATAGCTTGCTAGGACAAATAATTTTAAAGTTTGACATGCTTATAGTCAAATCATGCATCTAGACAAGAGGAAACAAGAACATTCAATTCTAGGGGTAGGGATCGTGTTCGACAAGAGGAACCAGAACATGAGCCTTGGCTCAGCTCGTTTGTTTAGAGAGCCGAACACGAGTCGTTCACCAACAAATCATTTTGACAACTCTATTCACGTAGTCATAAGATGTTAAGGATTATGACAAGATTTAAAACATGATTTGAATCTAATTCAATAATTTTTATTCTATTATAAATGTTTGTAGTCTTGTAGTCATTTAATTTTTTTTTTTAAATACTACTCATTATATATATATATATATATATATAATGAGTAGTATTTAAAAAAAAAAATTAAATGACTACAAGACTACAAACATTTATAATAGAATAAAAATTATTGAATTAGATTCAAATCATATAATTGATTAGTAGTATTTCGAGCCAAAACGAGTCGAACACAAACGAACAAATATTTGTTTATGTTCGGCTCGTTAACTTAGCGAACGAGCTGAACACGAGTTTCTTATCGAGCTGAACATAAGCTGTTCGCGAACAACGAGCCATTTTCATAGACCACAACGGGCCGTTTTCATAGACCTATTTGATTCTATTATCATCAAGGCACTTAAATATTGAAAAAACTACATATGATTAAGGGAATTAACTTGACACCCAATGTAGTATTTGGGGGGATTATAGGATCCCATTCTTCACTAGGGGGGAAGAGTGAGGTGATTAGTGAAGCTTAACTCTTAAAATCTTGACGATTATCGCAGGTCACCCAACATGACGGCTGACCATCAAAGTTGGCTAATCAATATGTTCATTCTAAGACAATATAAAAGGAAAATGTGACCAACCATATTAGATGGTCTTGTGTCAAATACATTTCAAAAGTCCAAGCGAAACATGAATATCTAAGATAAGAAGAAGCCAGCTAAACAAGGACCAGTCGGCTGATCGACCCAAAATCCACCGAAGAGCCAGCCAACTTGGATGACTAATCAACTCAGGAGCGGATTACGTAAAAGCAGAACTTATACACTTAAAGTCGAATGACAAATACCACCAAAAGCCAACTGAAGGAGATCGACCGACCATAAAATTGTCAAGGGCGTGTTTTTCACTTCACAATTGTTCTACTATCCTATAAATAGCATAACAATAAATACAGTACGGGTCGGTCGATGAAATTTAATATCATAATACTCTCATTTTTTGTTTTCATTCTCATTCTGGGGTCATGAAAAAGTTTAGGTCCAAATGGCAAATAGTTAAATTTTCTATTTTATAAGACAACCCTTTCATTAACAAGTAAAAAAATTATAAAAAAATACTTAAATCAAACTAATATAGAATATGCTAATAAAATTTCATTAAACAAATTAGTGAAGAAGTTCTTCCAAATGATTCCTTAATTGGCTAAAGATAATGCATTTAAGTCATGTTTTCTGGACGCTAGCTTTGTCTACTTGTTTGTTGAAGATAGGATGATGGGAAAAACTTTTATTATTTTAAATTTTCATCTTCTTATCATACATTTTTTTTAACATACTCAAATAAACTTTAGCTTTATATAGTACTATTGGTTTTTTCGAGTTGAGTGGCTACTAAAAATCCACTCGAAAAAAATTTTGATTCAAAAATTGATAGCCAAAATATTGGATCGAATTTTTCCGAGTTGACCCAGCTATGTTTGAAATCAGATAATTAACACCTGATCCGATCTTGATCCTAGCCAAAATTCAAATCAATTTTTGAACAATTAATAATCTTCGAGCTAAAGTAGCCAAATTTCGATCTGATCTTGATCATAGCCAAAATTCAAATCAATTTTGGAGCGATTAACGATATTCGAGCTAAATTCACAGCTCCATATAAAACAAATAATATTATTATTTTAAAATTTATATTTAATCATAGTTATTATAGAATTTTTAATTTTTACAATATTTCTAAGAAAAAAGTTTTAATTTAAGTCTCACCTCTTGAAATAAGCAGGTTTTACAGTCGAGCCGGATGAACCGATAGGTTCAGTCCAGTTTTTTAAATTGTACCCCTCCTTCAAGGTGATAAAATAAACTCTCTCTAAGCCTCTCCTCAGGGATGAGCAAATTATCTCTTTTGATTTACGTCTCTCCTCCTTGAATAAGCAAACAAAACCCCTTATTCGACCTTAAGAAATCTCCAAAAATCCCTTGAAGCTTGATTCGTAAGAAGCTATGATAGTAGTTCCTTGCCTCAAAGTGACAAGATCTGCAAGGGTACGATACAGATCATTCCACTGGCGAGTCTCATCGATTACCCTCAAGAAAGCAACAACAATACTGCCTAAGACCCGGCGTAAGGTGATGTCTGTCGGAGGCAATGTTTCGACAAGGGTAAGAGAGATGGGCAAGATGCGGGCTTGAGTTGGAAAAAAATTTCTATCTAAAAAATCTAAAATGAAAGCTTGATCATACTCTCCAAAAATCTTGACACTAGCTATTGATTATTTAAAAAAAAAGAAACACTAAAGGCTAGCAAGAGGACTCTTAAAAGTCTAAGTCCAACTAGAGGCTTATGAAATGGTATTTTATGCACTAATGAGTTTTTCACACTTATCGTAGGTTTGCCTCCAAAAGTTAAAAAGCTCACGGGCTTTATGTATAGCCTAAAAATAGGCTTTGCCGATAGAGTTGTCGTTGCAGGAGACATGCTAGCAGTCATGGACCTGTAGGATCAACCAAGTAAGCCATTCGGCAGGCCACCCGCCTCCAGTCAGTCAACCGCTTGGGGTGGCCACCACCATTTGGTCGGTCCCCTAGGGTCATCCACTAGGTGCATCCGACAGCCTGCCTGTGGCTAACCATATAAGAACCCTCTCAGCCGGCCTCACCAACTGTCCCCTTAGGCCAACCAACTCAACGGGTCGACCACCATGGGTGGCCACCTGATGAACCACTGGTCGGTCACCAAGGGACGACTTGATAATGAACAATGTGGTCGGCTCCATAATGAACAATCGGTGGGCCACCTCGGTCCGTCCACCACCCTTGGTCTACCACATGGGGAAGTTTGGTCGGCCACCTCCAGCCGGTCAGCCACATTGAACCAGCCATCCTACGTCAACGAAGTGTGATTTCTAACCTGGACTGAAATGTAGGGTTGTACTTGTAATATCACTCTCCCCTCATATTGTTGTATAAATAGATGACCATTTGGCATGTAAAAGTGGTCCATTTGGCTCTCTCTCTCTCACCCTCAAGTAGGAAGCTTGCTCCTCTTCTCCATCACTTGTAACTGAACCTGTGTGGAATAATAGCAGTCGTCGAGCCCGGGGAGCACCTCTTTTTGCCCTCCAATGAGGCAACGTCCTCTCTTTCTCTCTCTCTCTTTCTCTTTTCCCCAACCAATGAGGCAACGTCCTCTCTTTCTCTCTCTCTCTCTCTTTCTCTTTTCCCCAAAGTCCGACTCTATTCCTTGGGTACGGTCCAAAAAACAAATTTGGATTCAACACGTGAATAGTGCTTCACCAAAATAGCACTTCACCTTTTGCCTAAAATTAAATTAGTTTTATTCATCTTCGTAACTTGGTATTCAAGATCTACGGGAGCAATGTATTTTTGAATAATCAATCCCTTAGCTCATTTCACAATAATTACTTAAGCAATTTAATTGTTGTTTGTTAGCGCTAGAGAGTGCGCTCCTTCCGCCTCCTATGTTTCGAGAAACGACGCCAACTCCCGCTC